AAGGGATACTTCACCCGTTGAAACATTAATCTGTATTGACATTGGGTCATACATGTAGTAGAAATTAATTTTGAAGTTGGTGCCTTCTTGGCCGAGAAAAGGCAGAAAGTGTCTTTTTGGCTCATGTGGATGAAAGACACCAAATCCCAGAATGCACAACACCGCAGGCCACTCCCACTAAGGTCCTCTAGATCAGAATCAGAAATACTCCCAGAGGGAAAGTCGATCGTTACAATTTCTCCAAAATATACAGTATAGCAGTAGAAATATAGTAATAAAAACATTTACAGACATATTTACTTCAACACATACGGCCATTTCCTCAACTGATTCTGAAATTTCTTCCAGAATTAATCTTGGAAATTCCTAGCAGAAAACAGACTCTATGTTTGTGTCCAAACAGTGAGAGCACCGACACTACCAGTCTGCCCCAGCTCGAGCCAGCCCCGGCTACTCGTCCTCACCGCCACCGACAGGCAGGCCTTATGTCTCGGCTGCTGAGCTGGCGTCAAGCAATATAGCAATATAGCGGCGAGACGGTTGCTGCCAACAGGCTGGTCTTGTCGCGGCGGCCAGGCTAGCAGTCAAACGCCCGGCGGTCAGCTAGCGCCAGCCCCGCAGCCAAAACACAAGACCGGCCTGTTGGCAGCAGCAATTATCAGCCATTATCAGCTTTCTCCATAGAGCCTCTTAGCATAGCTTCCAAGCAATATGGCAGATGTTAAGTTTTGATTCTGGGAGTGAGTTCCCATCCACTGATCTATGATTGATCTGTAGCTTCAGTGGTCGAAAATATGAGGAACTAGCGTTGTAGTTTCACCACGCTAACCGCAACAGCTTCCAGTGACGCAAAAATCGTCATTTGCATTTTTCATTTCTAAGCCTTTTCAGACTTAGAAATTTCTCATCTCAGGGGAAAATGAGGGCGGGATGCACGACCATTCAAAAATACTACCAGGTTTCTAATGATACGAAGCTTAATGCAAATGGGTGAAGTATCCCTTTAAACACACACAAACAGGATCCTGTGGACATGCACTGATGGAGACATGTCAGTGAGGTGCGCTGCACATGACAGAGCCCCCTGAGCTGCGGTGCAGGGCTCCTCCACAGTGCTCAGGAAGTGACCTGGCACCTCTCAGCTGCCACTGACTGATTTTTACTTATTGTGTATATTTGCATATTCAGGAATCTTTGTCTTCATCTTGATTATTCAGGAATCAAAACTTCTAGAATTCATATTTCACACCCACGCTGAAATAGGACAGCCACCTTTGACATGATTGGTCAAATCCAAATAGCCTGAAAAACCACTCAGTAATGTCTGCAGCACATCTTCATTTAAAGTCTTACAAATGATCTATTACATGATCCTGGATTGTTTGACCTGTGCAAACTGTGAGGACTTTAATAACCAGGCTGGTGCATAAACCAAAGAGGTAAATAAAATGTGGTTAAAGGATAATAAATCCGCTTTCAGAGCAAACATGCTGAAATGACGCACACGCCCATGTAGCTGCTGTGCCAACCTCTCTCTGCCAGGTGGATTTCAGGTGAACAGAAGCACTTTATTCTTAAGAGACTGTAAGGTCGGCATCATGTTCCTTCATACTTAATACAGTCTCTTTTTAATGATCAATGCTATTAAAAGTACCTGAAGCTCGATGATATCTTCAAATCTTTGATCAAACCAAAAGCTGCCAGGAGCTAAAGAAAGACAGACGGCAACCTATTTGTGCAAATTAGTCTGCGTGCAGGAGTTCATAGGGGTGGCTGTGGCTCAGTTGGTAGAGTCGGTAGTCTCCCAACCAGAAGATCATGGTTTGATCCCCGGTTCCTGCTGCCACTTTCTGATGTGTCCTTGGGCAAGACACTTAACTCCAAGTGTCTCCCACTGCTTTGTGGGCGGTGTATGAATGTGTATGAATGGATTAGTTACTTCTGATGGTCTCTTTACTCAGCAGTCTCTACCATCATTGTGTGAATGTGTTCCCTTCACAGTTTGATGCGACGTCCACGTCACAAGCTGCTTGCACTCTTTTCTGTGTGTCGTAAGCATTTGTGAAAACATCTGGCCCACACCTGACCCGAGATCTGGCCTGCCAGCTGTTTGCTCAGAAAAAAAAAGCACACATGCTGTCTGGGTGCGGAGTTTAAATAAAACAAACAGTGTGCAGGGAACCAGCTCAAGTACAAACACTGACCTGAGTCCAGACACTGTGGTCCAAGAGCCATTCTTTGGTGATGTTTTTTAAGATGAGTCTGTGATTGGTTGATTGACATTACAGCATGCAGATGAATCTACGTCCGGTTGTGTGTTTTGTCACGGCTGTGCCTTACTCTTTTATTGCAGGTGTGCACTGGAGTTTTTCTCATCTGTGTCTCTCTCTGTGCTGTTGACTTTGTCTGAAATACAAAAATAAGGAAGTGTGTAGTAATTATGAAGGTGAAGTGCAATGGGACAATCCTAATCCTGGCTGGACATATTTCACATATTCTGCCATTTCGTACCCCTAAGAGTGAAAATTTGTTAATTATGAAACGGTTTGTGGATGCTTTAAGACTAAATTCAAGCAGGAAGAAAAAAACAAAGCTCAGATGGCAGTGAGGCTGTTCAGCATTTCAATCAGCTTGTCCTAATTATTTTCCCGTGAAATTAACTTTTAATTCAGATGTTGTTTATTGGATTTGGTTTTAACTGGTTCATTACTTTGGTCAGCTTCAGGAAGTCGTCTCAGAACACGATGATAAACCCAAACAGCCAGCTGCTGTGCTCCATGACTCCATAGGTGTTGTTAATCGAGCGGCTTCCCTCTCCCCTCCTTCTCTCACTTCGTGTGTCATTTTCTCACTCCATCTCTTCTCTCACCCACATCCAATTATAGCTCAGCCTCACTCCGGCTTCCCCAAGACACAGCGAGGAGAGCTGATTAAGTTTAATTTAGCTGCAGCTATTAACTGAGATGGAGGTTCTTCACAGTTTTTTCTCTTGTCAGTGAGCAGAGCAGAAACAGTTGCACAAAGAGCCTGCATGTTACTGTCCAACCAAAGTATGTGGATGGGTGTGTCGGCCGTGTTGGGTTTATTCCCTGCTGTTGTGTTAGATTACTCCACACAGACGGACTATTCCGCTCTCAGTGAGACTGCCATGCATGCAAACTTAGTCCGTTTAATCCAGCAGTTTCACCTGATTTCACCTGAGGACTTCAAACTGTGTGGGCTCTATAAAGCCTTTGATAAAGAGGAGTTTTGGTATTTTTAAACATGGGTTCTGTTTTTTACTCTTGCTGCAGCAGAATGTGACCTATCAAAGCATGTAACCTAAAAGTGCTTTTTGGTGCCATACAGGCACAAATTGTTGGATTTATTGTGTGAAACATTATAGAAAGGATGCTGCTGATAAAGGACCTTTTTATGAAAGATGTTCCCTTTTTTAAAGGAGAAATCAGTGAGATCTGTAGTGAGTGAGATGATAAAGTGAGCTTACTATATGATCAGACATTAAGGAAACATGCTATGTTGAAGTGCTGGTTTCTCTGACAACAATGCAGCAGCCAGTATGTCCTCCTCCTAACTTTAGAGTCTGGTCCTGAATGATTTGGATTTGTTTGAACCAGAGAAGGTAGCTGGTTTTAAGGCACCCCCACACGGCTGTTTTGGACGCCCCTCAGTTTGCCAGATATGAGAGCAGTTATCAGACACCTAGTGTTTAAAATGGGTAGTGCAGTCCAAATTCTAAACATTGTAGAGAGCTGTCTCTCCCCCCTCCTCTCTCGAGTCGATGCTCACGCAGGTTGCCATGTGGTGGACACTGAAGCTTCAGTGTTTAGCCAGCTCTGCATCGGTCTGTAAACCTTTCTGCGTTCTAACCTCTCTCCATTTTTCAAAAGCTTCTCCAATATTGATCCTAGTTTGAGCACGTTTCTGCTCGTGGAGCTTATTAGAAACATGCAGAGGCTTTTTAGGTCGGGTACAATCACTTCTATCTGAACCAGTTCTCTGGCAAACCGAGGGGCGTCCAAAACAGCCGTATCGGGTTGCCTTAAAACCGCCTACCTTCTCTGGTCCAAACAAATCCAGAGCATTCAGGACCAGAATCTAAAGTTAGAAGGAGGACATACTGGCTGCTGCATTGTTGTCAGAGAAGCCAGCACTTCACCATAGCATGTTTCCTTAATGTCTGATCATATAGTAAGCTCACTTTATCATTTCACTTTTATTTATGCAACAAAAAGCAGAATTCACCTGATGAGAAAACACAAAGATGCTGTTATATGTTCCAGAGATTCTCCTGAAATGTTACAAGATGCATCAATTAGTAACAAATAAATAAAAGACGATGAGAGGCCCTGTGTGAACTGCATTGTTGTTCTGGTGTCAGCTGTGATTGGTTAGTCTGCGTCACATTTCCACGACCGTTTATTTTTCTTCACCTCCCAACGAGTCAGCACGGAGCTGTTTATAACATCAGAAACGTCAGATCTCTTCTTCAACCCCCTCTCCACATATCACATTGCATTTTACGTCTGTGTACAGAGCATTGTGACACTTGTGTGTAAAGTAAATGTAAATAGCGCACACACAGACACAGTGTCATTCCTCCATTGGGAAAAGAGCAGTGATTGGGGTTTCTCTGGTTGAAGGGGAGGGGGAGGCTGATCGTGTGGTGTGCAGGCATTTGGCTGCTTGTCGAGGCAGGAAGTCAGGCGGGTCACTTCAGGTCAGCGCAGCAAGGAAAATAGCTCAGTGGCCACACGTCGGCCCCAGCCCTCGGTGTCCCTGAGTCGGGGGCCGCCTTGCTGGAAGGAGGCCACCTATGAAGGTGTGTCCTACTGAGAGCTAGCGGGCCAAAGAACTGCATCATCTCCTTATATAACAGTCCACAGAGGGTTAAAGGGCGATTCTGCAGCTTTTTAAAGTATTTCTTTGGTACTAAGGTTTTAACTATTTCTATACCACGTGTTTAAAAATGATCCAATGATCTCTAACCTCTTCTTTCTCTCCTCGTCTTCCAGGAAACAGAGATTGCTGCAGAATGCAACCATGTAAGTCTTTGCACTTATTCCTTTAAACTTCACTACCCAGCATGCACTGTGTTCTCTTATAATCATATGTAATGTTTACTGCATTTAGACAATAGACAGGAGAAGTTATTGGTGTTTTTGGAAAATTGGAATATGCAACAAAAAGATGAAATCAAAGTTTAAAAAAAACAAAGACCTAATGTAGAGATAAATAAATACACTGTGTCGGAGCCAATTTAGTGTGTAGAATAATGTCTTGTATTTCAATGGTTTTGGTCTATTTGACACATAATAGGTCATTGGAACAGTGAATCTGAACAGTGTTTGTTAACCTGTGTTTTCTGTATCTTCTCTCCTCCAGCTGCTGTGGAACTACAAGCTGAACCTGACCACCGACCCAAAGTTTGAGTCTGTAGCCGTGGAGGTCTGCAAGAACACCATCTCAGAGGTCAGTCTTTGACTCCAAACCTCTCCAGCTTTAGACTCCCTGTCTCACCAAAGTGTCCTTTCTGGAGTTGGATCTGGAGCTTTTAAGCTGAATTTTTTTTTTTGATCTGTGAGAATCTGCGGAGTAGCCTTTAAATTCCTCTTAGAGAAAACCTTGCTCGGAGTTGTAAAGGAATGCTCTCTAATCTGGTCCGTGATTTCTCAGCTCACTCTGCTTGCAGCCTCTGTGTTTGTTGTCCGTTCACTCACAGCTGCTGAAGCAGTTTAACAAAAACAGTCCTGCTTCTCTTTATTAAAACTCCCAGTCGCACGTTTGGATTCCTTGAAGAAAAAAACAACATACAAAGGGACAAACAGTCGTGATGAACGGAGTATTTTTATTTTGTACTCTGCTCATTTTATTTATGTTTGTCAAACATGTGAACATTTCTAAATGGATATATGTGGACAGGATTCTACAGCGCACACAGTCACTGTGACAGCTTTTAAAGATCCTTTTTGTGCTGTCAGAAATAGGCTAAAAAATGTTTTGAATGAACTGTAGATGATGGTGTGTTGAGCTGCAAACAGAAGCCCTCTTATTGACTGAGAAAAATAGTTATTTGATTGAAAGAGAGACATTATTTGTGCTGGGGCTCCGGTAGAGTAGTGGTTCGTGTGCATGCCCCATGTACAGAGGATGTAGTCCTCATGCAGGCGGACCAGGTTTGAATCTGATCTGTACCTCCTTTCCTCCATGTCACCCCCCCCAGAACAAACAAAAGGAGAAGAGGCGTCAAAAGTTATTTTCAATATTAGAAGTGTAACTGAACTAAAGATGTGACTGTGCTCTTCTTTCAGATCAAAGAATGTGCGGCAGAGGAGTTGGGGAAAGGCTACCTGGTGTCCTGTCTGGTAGATCACCGTGGAAACATCAGCGACTACCAGTGCAACCAGTACATCACCAAGATGACCACCATCGTCTTCAGCGACTACCGGCTAATCTGCGGCTTCATGGACAAGTGCAGAGAGGACATCAACACCTTGCGCTGCGGCAGCATCAGCACCGGAGAGAAGGTAGAGGACTCAAACCGTTTGCTGCTTTTACTATCATGCTGTCATAAGGGTTACATCCTAAACGGGCCTGACTTCCTGTTGATCAGAGGGTCGGACTAAGATAGATTAGAGGGTTAGACGGAGATGAAGGTTCAGGGTCATGAAGCAGACTCTTTTTAAAGACGAACGACACACCATTTTCCTGTCTGCATCTGCATCGCCACGGTGACGGCTGATATGACCCTTAAATGGCGTAAGCATTGTATTTCCTCCATCGCATGAACACTCAGTAATGCTTGTATGTCATTGTTGGTCCGTGTTTAAAAAAAATGATTTTAAGAGCTTTTACCGACTTTTATTTACTGCTATTTGCTAATGTTTACAGTTGGATTTAAATCCCACTGTTGATGGTACTGGATTGGCTCTAGTGTTCGACCAGTCATAGCACACTTACATCACCCATAGTCCCTTTTGTGCTGGGAGAGTACCTAATCTGAAGCAGGAGCTTAAAAGGATCCTCTAGACGGGGTTTTAGGAACTAGAATAGTTCATAGTTCCTGCTGTGTGGAATAAGTCAAAAAGGGGGAGGGTACCAACAGTTCCTAGAACTGTAAATCCTTAAATGCTGGCTAGATCACCTTGGAGACTTACTCTGCAAAGCTCACCTGTTCAGGACCGGGTTTTGAGTGGCACGCTGTGATTGGATGTTTTTGGACCGCAGAAACTTCTTCAAAGAAAGAAAGGGTCATTGGTGAGAAAGAATAATCTGAACCTGTCGGTCGCAAAAAAAAAAAGCACTTAGTGGACATACTATTAATTTCAAGAGTTCCCAGCTGCCAGATAAAGTGCCCGTTCCTTATTAAGATTCTCTTTACCTAGGACGGCTGTAGTGAGTGTGAAATGTTTTGGATTTTGTTCTTATTTTGGGCGTCATAGTAACGGGAACGTAATCTATTAAGAACTGAGCTCAGAGTCTGACTCAGCTGGAATGAGAAGAGAGAAGTTTGACGGCAGTTGTCAGCCAGCAGAGCGAATCGATCTGCTCTGAACTGAGGTCTTCCTGCTGCTGAGCCAAGCCCAAAAACTCATAAACCCGTTAGACACGTGGTTATTATGGGATGTTCAGTGCCACATTTAGAACTCAGAGCTAATAATTTATCCGGCAGTAGGGAGGGAAAGTCTGTTTCATTATCAGGAATTTGTCACGGCAGCTCATTTCCCTGTGTGGATTGGACTGACCATATTTACTCAGGCGCAGCTCGTCACCCTGACAGAATGATTTCTGGAGAGAAAGAAAGTGTCATTGTGTGTGGGATTAGTGGTCGTCATTACCCTAAAACTGGGGAACATTTGCATTTGAGATATTTAAAAGCTGATTTTGTTTTTCATCAACACAAGTTTTTAACATTTCCATTCACCTCTCCATCTACCTGAATGTGGAGCGATGACTCAAGTGTTTGACTCAAGTGTTTGTAAAAGCTTTGCAGCATTAGTCCTGAGCTTCTATTGTAAGAGGACTGAAATGTGAAAAAAACATTTTGTTGGAGAGAGAATGATTTGACAGCAGAGAGAGTCCGTCTCTCAGTCTGTCCTTGCTGGGAATCTAACAGAAGCCGTGTTGGTTGATGAACTGAGTGGACACAAACGTTGTCATCATTAATACGTGGAGAATGATTGAAAAGTAGAATGAAACGCTCGCTGTGAATAGAAGGAAAACGCCTCTTTCAACTGAACATGTAACTTTAATTCATTTGACCTTTAATTTTTATCCCCCGGTTTTGGCCACAACCTTCCCAGTATTACAGTCAAAGTGAGTGACACGCCTCCTGCAAACAAGATATTTATGGTCTTGTCTTGGTCTCGTCCAGCCTTGGTCTTGGTCTTGACTCGACCTTGTCCTGCCTTGGTCTTGACTCGGTCTCGTCCTGCCTTGGTCTTGGTCTTGACTCGGTCTCGATCCCTAAATGTCGTCTTGGTCTCGGAGTACTCTGGTCTTGGGAATGTCTTGGTCGTGGTTAATGTGGTCTTGACTATAACACTACTTTAGACATTCAAGAAATGGACTCCTTCTCTCAGGCAGGATCCTAAGAAAGTCCAGGAGCATACAAATCACTTCAGGGACATTTATTTAGGACCCACTGTCTTCTTCTGGGTCAAAACGTTACTCCTTTGCACCTAAATAAATACGAGGAGGCTGCAGGAGAAACTCTAACATGTGAACACTTTGATAACTGTTTAAAAATGTCTCTTTAAAATCTGTTTATATAATTTTAGTAGAAAATGTAGAACTGTTGATCTGAAAGTCTCCGTCTGTGCGACCTGCCTGATATTTGCTGCTCTCCCTGTGTGACTCTGTTCTTTCTGTGCAGGACATCCACTCGCAGGGCGAGGTGATCGCCTGTCTGGAGAAAGCTTTGGTGAGAGAAGCCGAGGAGCAGCCGGGGGCTCACCCCATCAAAGACGAGTGTAAGAAGTCCATCATGAGAGTGGCGGAGCTCTCCTCAGACGACTTCCACCTGGACCGTTACCTGTACTTCGCCTGCCGCGAGGACCGAGAGCGCTTCTGTGAAAACGTGAGGACTTTACGCCTCACAGTCTGAATACTCTGCAGATGAAAATGAAGAATGAGATAGAGAGACTTTTCCAGTTTTGCTGCTGATTAAGTGTATTTTGATTTTGTTTTTAGACTCTGGCCGGAGAAGGACGAGTTTACAAATGTCTCTTCAATCACAAGTTTGAGGAAGCGATGAATGAGAGGGTGAGTGCCATTCACTCTGTTCATGTCCTGTCTTTCTATCGTGCTTCTGTGGTGACGACAGGTTGGCTGTTTAGGCGAAAACTGCAGTTTGTCATTTACTTGAGAGTCCAGAGAAGTCTTGATTATCACCTGATTTTTTAAATTAATTTATGGACGTGTCTCAAAAACGCTGTAGCTCTGTTTGCATTTTTTTATATCTCATGTTTGTGTTTGAAAATGAACTGATGTGACAAAGATGAAGGTCATACTCATCCTGGGAGTGAATCTGGTCTGTCCACCTGTGTTATTCTGCCCCTGTGGATCTGATCTGACCTTTATACTTCTTACCTCACACATATTTTTTGACTCTGTGTATGTTTGTGCGTCCTCAGTGCCGCGAGGCGTTGACCACCCGGCAGAAACTCATCGCTCAGGACTACAAGGTGAGCTACTCGCTGGCCAAAGCCTGCAAGTCCGACCTGAGGAAATACCGCTGCAGCGCCGACTCCAATATGCCGCGAGCCCGAGAAGCTCGCCTGTCGTACCTGCTGCTGTGTCTGGAGTCTGCAGTCCACAGAGGTGAGCCGCTCCACCTCATCCACCAATCTATGTCCTGAGCTGTCAGTCAGACCTGGCTATAAACTGGATTATCTGTGACTCAGCTCTTCCCATGAGTCATCAATTGACAATTTAACACAATGAACCTGTCAATCAGCCAGCTTTAGTTCAGCACAGAGTCACAGTTTGAGCCAACGCTGTCGCTGCAGTTAGTTAGAGGAGGAAAGAAATAAAAAAAATATCCAACTTTAAATAATAAGAATACATTTTATTTGTCATCACAATAAAAACATCCTATAGAATGTCTGTTATTTCTCATACAAGTAAAACTGCAGGATTAACTCATCCAAGTTGTTTCCTCAGAGGTTTTAAAGGAAATACAATATCATTAAATATTATCGTAGAACTGGGAGAGCTTTATTTCCATTTAAAGATGTTGATTCAACCCTAAGAAAATACAGTTTCTCTTTGGCATACTCCGCTTCAGTTGAATCTAAAATATAAAAAAACGAGGTCGTTCTTTTTGCACACTCTATCCACTGAACACTATTCATGGCTTTTAGGTTTAAGTTGAAGTCGTATTGCATTAAATATTGTGTGATTTTTATACGTCATGTGTGTCGTCCAGGCCGCGTGGTGAACGGCGAGTGTCAGGGCGAGATGATGGATTACAGGCGGATGCTGATGGAGGATTTCTCTCTGAGTCCGGAGATCGTGCTGCACTGCCGCAGCGAGATCGAGGGTCACTGCTCCGGCCTGCACCGAAAAGGACGCACGCTGCACTGCCTGATGAGGGTCGGACGAGGAGACATGGGAGCCATCGACCCCAATTGTCAGAAAGCGGTGAGTCAGCATTAATGCAGACTGAACAGAGATTCAAGCAGAAGCTGTCAGCAGATGTTCATGTTCATTTGATGTAAGTGAGGAGATGTTTGAAGAAAGGAAAGATTAGCTTACTGTGCAGAAGATAAATGTTTCTACTAGTTTCTTTATTCTGAAGCTTTGAGTGTCTGACTCCTGTAGAAGGAAGTGCTCGTCAAAAAAACATATTAACCATCAAACTTCAAATGAAAGGGACTCAGTTCAAGATCAGCTGTTGTCTGAAGTGTTAGAATTTGCTGTGACATTTCCAGCCTTTTTGAATCTTGAGACCTACTCCTGATCTCCGTTGCTGTTTGTTCTTCCATCCTCAGCTCCAGACTCTGATCCAGGAAGCCGACCCCGGAGCAGACTACCGCATCGACCGAGCGCTCAACGAGGCCTGCGAGTCAGTCATCCAGACTGCCTGCAAACACATCCGTAATGGAGACCCCATGTCAGTCCTCCCCCTGATTTCTGTCTTTCATTGTAGAACAGGTTTATTTGAGCTTTGTGGTGCAGCTCATGGATTTTGTAGTTTAAAATGTATTACAGATTTTAGACAAAATAACACAAATGCATCAATCCCAAACAGACTTTAATAAATAGGGTTTTAATTTGACTCATTTTGGGCAGGATCCTGTCGTGTCTGATGGAGCATCTGTACACGGAGAAGATGGTGGAGGACTGTGAGCACAGGCTGCTGGAGCTGCAGTACTTCATCGCCAGAGACTGGAAGTAAGTCCAGCTGAACATAGACCGGAAGTTTCCCTCGAATAAACAGAAATATTTTAGAAGATGTAAACAAAGCAGACAAATTCTTTAACCTACAAGGCCTCACTTAATCCGACTCTCTGGCCTGGTTTATACTTCTGTGTCGACTGTTGGTCTACACTGTAGTGAGCACTACACACTTAGTGTGCGTTAGTGTATCTGTTCATGAAACCACTGCGACTGAAACCGAGCGTCTCATGTTGGAGCTGGAGCGGATGAATGTCGAGCAGCAGTGGATTATTCTGGCCTGTTGCGGTCTTCATTGTGCAGAATTTTGAAATTGGCTGCCATACCAGAAAGGTTGTAAAAACTTCCTCCGGTGTTGAAAAAGGAAGCCAATGCAGTACCTGGAGTGTCCACTAGAGACTGGCTGTTGAAGCACAGGAAGTCTCATACGCACCCATTCTAAAAAGCCTGTTTTTACAGCAGAGATTAACATGTTTACAGCCTGGTTCAAAAAAACAAATAGGTCTGATTAGCTCATGTCTCGATCGACACACACTGTACGGGGGGTGAATGTTTTGATGACTCATCAGTTTTGATTTGATGAAGGATAAGAGTTATTCACAATAAGGCGTGTAGCTGACCTGATTGACAGGCGGGCGTGGTGTAATGGTTTGTCAGGAGTCTTCAAACCCGCCTCAGCTCCAGCTCTCAGCCTGTCGTTAGGTTGACTGAAAGTTAGACTGAGACAGCATTTCCAGCATGGAGACCGCCATCGATGGGACTCCAGCGCCCCCTGCAGAAACAGATGGGTGACGTTACTCTTCGGCTTCGTTTACTTATATTTACAGTCTTTGGTAAATTCACAGACAGGGACAGCGATATCTCGCCGTCAAGGAATCAATCTAAATGAGAAGTGATGAGAGAGGAGCTTGGTTACAGCTCACGGTTTGACAGGAACCTCTGATGAGTCTCAGAAAGTAGTAAACATCCGGTTGTTAACCAGTGCATGTGTTGTTCAGGTTGGATCCCATCTTGTATAAAAAATGTCAGGGGGACGCCGCTCGCCTCTGCCACACTCCCGGCTGGAACGTGACGAGTGAGATGATGCCGCCTGGCGCCATTTTCTCCTGCCTGTACCGCCACGCCTACCGCTCTGTGGAGCAGGGACGGAGGGTGAGTGTCTGCAACGCCTCTGTCCTCTAACACTTGTACATGTTTGATCCGATCTGTGTTAAAGGTTTACTTCACTCACATGACAGAAACACATCTCACGGCTAAACGAGAGTCTATCAATTCATTTATTGTCCTTTGAACCAGCAGACCTTGTACAGTATCTCAGTTCACAGTGGCTCTCACTTATCAATCTGGTGTAGAAACCAGCGCAGATTTGGGTGTAGAAATCATCGTACGACAGGGTCCATGTGGGACCTATGAAACGTGCGTATCTGGCTGGTCACAGCGTACGCAAGACCAGGTGTTGATAAGTGTGGCGGCTGGAAACGATCGTCATTCAAATACCACGCCCCTATTTATTCACGGTTTAGCTGTCCTTGCCCCCAGAGATTACGGCATGGAGATACGTAATACGGCAAAGAAGAGAAACAAGATATGACATGAGTGACACCATAACAGAGAAAAGAGGAATAACATTGTGTTGTCTGGCAGCCTGAAATGTAGGATTAAAGAGCTTCAGAAGAAATGCGCCTTCATGGAAATCTCAACAGCGTTGGTTTGGATAACTGAACTCCAGCAGAGTTTTTAATATTTAATTTAACATCCGTGTAATGTACATAATCTTGGCTATAATACACAAATCACAATTTTTTACTTTTACGTTTAAAAAAACCTGGTCAGACTTTAAGATCGCTACAATATAGGCTAGTTTTGCGGGTTTTAAAAGAAGCAGTGACCGGAGGACGGCAGTCGTACCCCACCTGAAATAATCCCAGATCCAGGAGCGAGTGGCTTCTTTCATCAGTACAGCCTCAATATCAGGCACAAGTGGTACAGGCGAACCTGCATCTGTGTCGAATAACTTTGGCTGCACTAACGGGCTCTGTGCTCGCCATTAATGAGACTTTAAAAGAGAAGAGAAACCTGAAACGTCCTACATCACATGAATAAAGTGTTTGATCAAACGCTGTGCAATCTGCACTTCTCATCCGATTAGCCTACTTTCCAAACATAAGAATTTAACACTTACATACAAGAAGGTCCTGACTGTGTTTTACAGCCCCAGGATTTCTTTATTCGTTATTATGTCACATGTAGTCTCTGGCCTATGTGCGTCTGCTGTGCGCAATTACACATGTGGCACATCAGCGTATTTATTATTTTAATCTCCGGACATACCGTTTAGTTATGATCTAACGTTAATGTTCTGTATTCTTAAATATTTCAGAGGCTAAAAGTTGTATTTAGTATCTCTGGAAGTTTTTATGTCCTTTTCAAGTAACTGTTTGTAGTTTTTCTGTTTTAATTTGTCTCAGTATTTTCTGCAGCGATATTCCTGTGTGCATGAACGTGTAACATGTAAGCCTAATTACCGAAAGCAGCCTCTACTTTACTTTACTTTACTTAATCTTTAAAGTAAATCGATTAAACAAACATTAAATCATCAAATATAACACACAACTAAAGAAATCACCTGACAGCTCGTGATGCTCAACATTATTTAAAAAGCAATGTAGTCTACAGAGATCGTTAGAGGTGGAGCGTGATATAAAATACATTTTAGATATCTTATCTGTCAGTAAATCTGTGAACCTCTATTTGCCTTTCTTAGCAAGCAGATTCGCTGCAGCGCAAGTCCACACTGAGTTGAAAACGTGCGTACACGAGCTGAGACCTGGCGTGGGATTTGAGCGTACCCTCCGCTCACGTCCAAATTGATAAGTGCCGAACTTTGCGTGGAAATGAGCGTACACCCATTTTTCTGCCGTACGTACGTTGATAAGTGAGGGCCATTGTGAGAAACCTGATCATTGCAGAAGTCCTGACACACCAGTCAAATCATTGTTTTTTTAAAGATGTGCTAAAGTCTCCAGTCAATATACAGTCACGGCTGTATTCTGTTTTTTTCTTAAAGGTCACATATTATACAAAATCCATTATACACTAATATGTGTCTCTAGTCTGTCTACAAACCCCCCAATGACGAGAAAAGTCCATCCTCTGCGTATTTAGCCTGCTCCACTTTTCAGAAAATGTGTGCTCAAACAGGCCGTATGGAGATTTCCCTTCATGACATCACAAAAGGCAGTAACCCCTCCCCCAGGTGGGTGACACTCCCACAGCTAGGTGTTTGTTCTGCCCTCTGAGTCTGCCTTCTCAACGTAAACAATAGGACATGGAGCTGGAAAGCCAGTGACACCCAAGCCCTTCCAGAGAGGGGGCGTGGTCAGACACAGCTCATTTACATTTAAAGGTACAGACACAAAAACAGCCTGTTCTGAGCAGGGCTGAAATAGAGGGGTTTATAGGCATGATCAAATACAGGATCAGAGTGGATTTAGAACAAGAAACTTCACACACATGTTGTGAGGAGCTCTGAGACTTATTTATACTGATTGAAGAGGAGGAGAATATGTGACCTTTAACTCATAACTACTGGGGACTAAAATGTCGACTGAGCAGTAATAAAGCAGTCATCTGGAAGTGATTTCATGTCCACCAAACAAACTGAAAGCAGCACAATACAGCACAGCCACAATATGACGATAGCTGAAGATGTGATGACTAATGTAGAAAGCCTGTAAACGTTGTCACTGACCAGAGAATATCGTCGTAGCTCCCCGATGGAGCATCTGAAGCAGAAACCAAGGGAGTGACTGTGAGTACGTCCTGCTGCTGAACCAATGATGATCACTATAAATCACAGGGAACTCAACACGCCTGTCACTGTGACTGGTGGTCTGAGGGAGTCAGTGATTGTGTTCCTTTAATTTCAATCTGGTATTGATGCATGTGGGGAGATGATTTAAAGAGTAATTTGTTGGAGTGAAATGAGCCGCTGAGCTTCATGTGATGAATCGATGTGAATAATGAAAAACATTTTTGTTTGTGGATCAAATTTAAGTTTCTTTAAAATCAGAATCTATGTGTGTTCTCTGTCCTTAAAGCGATGCTCCACAGACATATTGTTATTGTAAGTTTCAGAGTTAGCTTGATTAGCATGGCGTATCCCTAATGTATAGATATTTTGATTTAAATTTTGCTTGCGGCCGCCCCCTAATATAATGGTAGGGGAAACACTGATGTAAACCGGTGGACTCCTGCGTTGTGTTGAGATGTTGTTCTGATGATGCTGCACGGTACAGGACAACTTTGCCTTGTGTGAGTGCATCCTAAGATCCTTTGGCTATGTTACTTTTAAGATACAGCCCCATCTTCTACTCTGGCCAGCATGTTAGCCTTTATATATTTTAATCAGCCTTTAAAGTCAGATTCTTCGGGACAGAATGGTTAAAGTTGGAGTATCACTTAAAGGATTGTTTTGAAACATTAAAAGTCAAAGTGAGATATTCT